TTTGTGCAGTGTGTAAATAATGTGTGGAGTATAAGTGAGGCAAAAATGTGTAGATTAGATGTTGGCCTATTTTACTTTTCTCAGTATTCTGACTTTTTTCTTAGTTATTACTTTTTTTAACTCTCAGAATTGTCACTTTTTTCTTAGAATTTTGGACTTTTGTTTCAGAATTTTCACTTTTTAAGATTTTTTTTTCAGAACTTTGACTTTTTCCTCAGAATTCTGACTTTTTTTACTTTCTAAGAATCTTTGACATTTTTTTCAGAATGTTCACTTTTTTCCAAATTTTCTTTTTACTTTTTTTTCACTGAATTCTGACTTTTTTGTACTTTCTCAGAATACAGATTTTTTTTACTTTCTAAGAATTTTGGACTTCTTTCTCACAATTCTGACTTTTCTTTACTTTCCAATCATTTTTGACTTTTTTCTCAGAATTTTTTTTTTTTTCTCAGAATCTTGACTCTTTCCCAAATATTCAGATATATTGTGACTTTATTTTTAGTTTCTCACAATCCAGATTTTTTTTACTTTCTAAGAGTTTTGGACTTTTTTACTTTTTTCTTAGAGATTAGATTTCTTCTAACCCTAAAAAACCCAGAAGTCTGATTCTTTCTTTTCAGGGAATCACTGATAGACATATTCAACTATTTCATAACACTTTATAGTTAACAATGTAGTTGCATCCACGATGTCAGATCCCAACCGGTCTCTGAATGAGCGTTTTTAGGGTCCTTTAATGAAAGGCAAACACTTCCCCCTGTGAGTGCAGGTGTTTGATATTAAATCAGCCTGGCGTTCAGAAACCTTTGATGATTCTGTGAGTGTTTCTGAGCAGATCTTACCGTGGACGTGAGACTGCTGGAAACTCTTTCCTGGAGCAAAGTGGAAGTTTCCTGCAACCTGAAGCACAAAGAGGGCGAGGAGAGGGTCAATGACACGTAGTCATTATAGTCCAACAGGAGAAACAGGAAGTATCATGAACATGGACAACAATACATTCACAGTATTATGAAGATATTGTTGAAATTAAAAGGTGTTATTTTAGTTTATTCTTTAAATTGAATTATTTAACTTATATACATGTAACATTGTACGGATTATACTTAGATTGTATATCAATTTATTTGTATATTTCTCTGTGGATCTTAATGTCCTACTTTGGTTATTGTTTGATTTAATTTTTGTATTAAATAAACTTTCACTTCTTTGTTAAAAAAAGTACATATTTTAGACTAACTCTCACAGTTGAGCCAACTGTTAGAGCCTCTCAGTAATTCATTGGGAATTACGTCACTACACACAAGGCCCATCTCAATTGAATATTTCACCTCCTCCTTTCCCTCACTCGCGTCCCTTCCTCGCGTCTTAGCTCCGCCTCCATAAGATGCGAGCGAGAGACGCGAGGACAGAGGAGTGGGACGTCCTTCGACATGGCGTGTCTTGATCGATTTCCGGGTCAAGTCCCGGAGGAGAGGGGAGTCGAGCAGGGACATTGAGATGAGCCCCCAGTTTCCCCAGTGAAGTAAATCAAGTATTTCCATTGATTCCCAAATGTGCTTCGGTGTGTAACGGTGCATACATTAATGCAGCAAGAGGAATTAAGATGTAAAATAAAGTATATATAAAAAAGAGATAGAACTATTTTATTAATTATTATAAAATAAATTATTATTTTTAAAATGTTAACAAGAAATACAAATAAAAAGAAAAGTAGGTACAATAAGTAAACTACAAATTAAAAATAAAATATGTGCAGTATATCAGAATTTAAGAGAGGTAGTATTATTACTGAAAGCCGATTTCCCGCCAACTCAAAACACGTCACTGAATATTTTTGTTAGGTGCCGTTTTCCTCGAGACAGAAACAGGACTCCTGCTCTGAGTTAAAACACTTTTCTGGGAAGGTGAGAGAAACTAAAGGTGTGTGTCTTCACCTTGTTGACCTCCAGGAAGCCGTACACCTGGCAGCCCTCGTTCTTCTGCTCCTGCATCTTCTGCGTGAATCCTTCTCTCTTACACTGAACGATGGTGTCGGCGTTCTTAAAAGCCCAGCCGCGCCTCCGGTACGCCTCCCGGACATCATCACACGTGTTACAGCATCTACACACACACACACACACACACACACACACACACACACACACACACACACACACACACACACACACACACACACACACACACACACACTCTCTCACACACAAAGACAGACAGACAGACATACAGACAAACACACACACACACACACACACACACACATACACACACACACACACACACACACACACACACACACACACACTCTCTCTCTCTCTCCCTCACACACACAGACATACACTCTCTCAAACACACACACACAC